CGAGGTTCGACTGTGTGTGTGTGTGTGTGTGTGTGTGTGTGTATATATATATATGTATATATATGTATATATATATATATACATATGTATATGTATATATATATGTATAAAACAACGACTGCAGAAATTTGAGAATATTTTCTGTTGAGGCACTGAAATCAAAGGATTCAAACCATTTTGAGTTAAACAAGGGCTCTAAACGATTAAACCATCATCCAAATAATTGTTGACGAATTTGACAATCAATTAGTTGTCAATAAATTGTTGCACGTCTGCACATCACACAGTTTAATGGCATTTCCATAAATTTCAATGGGGAAAGATGATTTGACTTCTGGTTTTATTTGATGAACTATCCATCCATCCAGCCATCCATTTTTGATCTGCTTCATCCTCACAAGGGTCGCGGGGTGTGCTGGAGCCAATCTCAGCTGTCTTAGGGCATTAGGCCGGGTACACCCAGAACTGGTTGACAACCACTGCCATGGCACACAGAGACAAACAACCATCCGCGCTCACACTCACACCTAGGGACAATTTGGAGTGTTCAATCAGCCTGCCATGCTTTTTTTTGGAATGTGGGAGGAAACCGGAGTACTAGAAGAAAACCCACGCAGGCACGGGGAGAACATGAAGCTGGAATCGAACCCTCTGCACTGTGAGGTCGACGTACTAACCACTCGCGTACCGGGCCGCCCTTGATGAACTACTGAATTTTAAAACACAAAAATTATCTTTCAATTGCATAAAACTGAGAAAAAAGTTGATCCAGTGTTGTGTATCATTGAATGAAATGTAATGAAATACCAAAAAGTAAAAAGTAGTAATTGGCTTTTTTGTGGTGGTGGCATACACCGAAGTCCTAGATAAATTGGAAATTATCTTAATGTGTTCTGGCATCTTTCTATGTGGTATCATTTGCAGTACTGTTAGTATTGTCTGTTTCTCACAGATTTTCTTTGCCGAGACTTCCTGCGAACCTGTCAATCGATAACCTGTGGATCATTTGAATTTTATTTGCTAGATTCTAATTGTCGCCAAACGTTGGCGAAAAGCTGTATGTGCCGTGCCTTGGCGGGCCTCGGCCCCATGGATTTCACGAGAGCGAGAGATGCCCGCGAGATGGCTTATCGGCCCAGCAAACAGGGAGACAATTTAATGGACTCAGCTTTTAGTATTCATAATTTATATGGGATACTCTCCAGTAAAGTGCAGCTGCATAATGAATGTGTGAGTTAAGGTCTTGGTTTCAACACCCTGAAAGTGTCAGAAATAGTCGGTGTGGGGGCTCCATGCGTCTGTTAACTGTCGCCACTGTACTGCACCAGCTCACAATCGTCAGCACTGATTAATTGCGGCGAGACAAAGAGAAGAGCTGTTGTTGAAGTTTACTAATCAGCAAACTAAATATAAAAGAAAAAAATGTTTTGTATTTAAAACACGTTTAGCTTCGGAATGCTAGCATAATGCTAAAACATCATGGAAAATGCCATTGTTGGGTTAACTTGTAGCATCTGTACCAGGGTTATGACCCTTCAACAAATTATTATTATGATTATTATTATTTTTACTATTATTATGGCGGCCCAGTAGTCGAGTGGTTAGCATGTCGACTTCACAGTGCAAAGGTACCGGGTTCAATTCCAGCTGCGGCCAACCTGTGTGGAGTTTGCATGTTCTCCCCGTGCCTGCGTGGGTTTTCTCCAGGTCCTCCGGTTTCCTCCCACATTCCAAAAAAATGCATGGCAGGCTGATTGAACACTCCAAATTGTCCCTAGGTGTGAGTGTGAGCGCGGATGGTTGTTCGTCTCTGTGTGCCCTGCGAGTGGCTGGCAACTGGTTCAGGGTGTCCCCCGCCTACTGCCCGAAGATAGCTGGGATAGGCTCCAGCACGCCCCGCGACCCCAGTGAGGATAAAGTGGTTCGGAAAATGAATGAATATTATTTTTATTGTATTTGGTATTGTTGAAGGAACATGTCTTAAAGACAATATAACAATAGCATACAGTCTTTATCTTCTGCAAAAAATACTTATATTAGTGAAGCTTACACTTTACTGGCGACCATTCCCCCCCCCCCCCCCCCCGCTTTTCTTTTTTTTTTTTTGCTTATGTATGTACTGTATGTCTCTATTATCCTGCGCCTGGTGGCCAAGGTAGGCACACTAGAAGGAACGGCATGATGTCAATGAATGTTGAAAACAATTACAAGTCTATTTGTATGTCATCGCTGTTGGGTGGAATCCTCGTATATCCTTTTTTTTTTTCCAGACGCCGCTTGGATCAAGTTGTATTATACCTTATATTGCTATCATATATTGTTTCAGGCTCACATCAACACAACAGAAAAATATTGAAAAAATTCAATCAATGATTTATTTTACTGCCAAAATCATTAATTTATTACGCAGATTAAGATATTACAGACATGGAGCCAGCGGCAGCTGTACTCTTCATAGTCTGTGGTCATGTCGAGCCCACACCGTGCACGAAGCCTTTTAAACCGTTACAAATGCAAATGTCCGTCCTACATCATCTTCACAAACACCTATGAGTGATGCAATAAATATAACAGTGAGCCAATTAACCCCATGTATTTAGCTGATATTAATACAACACAAAGACTTACCTTTGTGACATCACAGCGATCGATTTTAAACAAACAAGCCAACCTCTTTGTAGCTCACTTTTGTATTTTCACGCGTTATTATCTAAAAAATTATCCAGATCTTATATGGAGGTGACAATTACACCACACATCTTCTGCAGAACGAGGAAACTGAAGTACTTTTGCAACACTATTTCTTGCGTTCAAGAGCGACAATGGATTTATTTTCAAGCTATATTTACCGCTTTAAAGTGGTTAATGTGTAAAAATAACAGACGACGTGAAGGATGGACCATTAGTATTGATTTGTGAAAAACAAATGAATTTGACAAGATTTGAACATCTGAGGTTTTCTCCAGACAGCGATGATATATCATAAATACATACTATTTAAAGCGTTTTTTCAAACGCTACAAAAATTGGGAAGACTGGATTGGATTAACAGCATTTCCATTCATTTCAATGGGGAAAGATGATTTGAGATAAGAATGTTTTGAGTAACAAATTGAATTCACAAAATACTTGAAAAAAGAACGCTGCAAAAATCAACTGACATGAATAATGCAGCTTACTGAGTCACTCAGAAGTTGTTGTGAATCTTCTTTGTTTGTGTGGGTATGACTGCATGATCCTAACCCCCGGTGGCCAAGGCAGGCCTACCAGAAGGGCAGCACAATGAATTGAAGCAATACGTCATGATGTACAAAGTGTTTAATTCAATGCAATACATTTAAAAGTCATTACTAGAGATGCAGCAATTAATCGATTCATCATTGATTATCAAATTAATTGACAACTATTTTTCTAATGGAATAATTGTGGACAGAAATTTTTTAACTTAAATTGTCCAAGTCCACTGATTCTAGCCTCTCAAAAGTAAATACTGTATTCTGATTTTTGTAGTTCTCCATGAAAGCAGACCGATGATCTTTGTGTTGAATCAAATGAAAACATCTGCTCTCACTTCAGGAAAAAAAAATGCAATCAATGATTTCCCCTATTTTATGACATTTTATGGAATCATTGACAAATTATTCCATCCATCCATTTTTCGATCTGCTTTGTCCTCACAAGGGTCGCGGGGCATGCTGGAGCCTATCCCAGCCGTCTTCGGGCAGTAAGCAGAGGACACCCTGAACCGGTTGCCAGCCAATAATCATTAGTTGCAGCTCTAGTTTTTACTCTGTTTTTATTAAGTACAATATTATGGAGGGGTGTTTTTCTCATCAAAGAGCAAATTACAAAAAGTGTTTTTGGGTAGAAGGCATTTCAATATTTGCGTTACGTGTGTGGTCACGCAGGAAATTCAGCGCTCATCTCAAGGTATCACTGTGTGCTGTAGAAGGAGCGTTTTCCAACAATCCGTTTTTGCAGACACGAATATGCAGTCTTGACACACACCTCACGACATTCGCTTTTTAAATAAGTAATGGGGGCTGTCATTTTTTCCAGCGCAGGTGTGAAGATTTGGACTGCGCTGTGCGTCTCGCCTTATTGGACAGCTGCCGGCCGAACTTCTGATCAGAGGCTTCAAAGAGCACGAGAGAGAGAGAGAGAGCGTGTGCGTCTTTTTCTGTCTCTTATTCCTCATGGGGCACGCTATAATAATCAGTCTTTTTCTTTTTTTTTGTCCAGATTTAGATCTGTGTGGGCTACCTGTATGGCTGTTACCATGACAACATCTGGAGCCCAACTCCTCTTGGTGGCCTTGTGTGTTTACAGAGGCCTGAGCCTGCAGCAGTCGGCGCCGCGGGTTCGCCTCTCATTCAAAGGTGAGCCGGAACGCTTGGCCGTCTTTTTTGTTTTCTTTCTTTTTCTATTTCACTTGCAGAGACCTGCACGCGTCAGGCTCGGCTTCCTCTTAATGCGTACATGATATAAAGAGCGTGTTTCCTGCCACATGTCGAAAGGGTGCAACAGTGGAAACAAAAGGTGGATATTACAAGTGTTTTTCTACTGGCAGGGCCCTTGGTGAAAACGGAGCCACTCCACACCCTGAAACTCACACGCACTTAGGTCACACTCGTCATTTCTGCGGCGCTTTGACGTGCGATGTGATGACGTCCGTTCAGCGGTATCGGATACCGGCACTGAGGCCTGGAACACACAGACGGATTTATCAAACTTAAAAAGATTTTGTTTCCAGTAGCCATGACAGACCACACACAGGAAGATAAAAGAGTCACAGGCATTTAACAGTTTTGGTTGTATTGTGTATGCGGTCTGCTCCGATTATCTCAACACAGAACAGCACACACATTGAGATACTGTCCCAGGGCAGATGTCGAAACAAGTCCTCAGAGGCAAAAACCTTGCGTGAGCTCACAAAAAAAAAAAAAAAAAAGAACAACAAACACCTCCGGATATGTGCTGATGCGACCAGAGTGATTTTGGAAAGGAGCAAAGGCGAGAGCACTGTCAAATGGCAATGCAGTGGAAAAAGCCGTGCTTCAAAAAAATACGCTTTTGCGCTTTGGGGAACCCACTTTTATACACACAAAAAAACAAGATTGGGCAGGACATGTTTGTTTTTATTTTCGGTTATTTTCATGTTCCTCAATCAAAGAGGGGCGAGAGTTTCAAGCTCAAGTTGGGGTTTCAAATTTGGGTTCCAAGTAACTGTTAGGGTTTCAAATTTGGGTGATAGGATCAAGCCCAAGTTAGGGTTTAAGTCAGTGTTTCAAAGAAGGACGAGCATTTCAAGGTTGATGCAGGGTTTCGAATTAGGGTTTCAAGCAAATGTTGTGGTTTCAAATTAGAGTATCAAAGCCTGAGTTAGAGTTTCACATTAGAGTTTCACGTTCATTGTTGTTTTTCAAAACATGGTGAGGGTTTTGAAGTGTGGCTTTAATGAACTCATTCACTGCCATTCAAGGTGACAGAAGTCAAAAGCTCAATAGTTTCCCCACAGGCTGACAGTGAATGAGTTTTCATGATCAAGGTTTCAAATGAACGTTTCATTCCATGGTTAGGATTTCAAATTAGAGTTTCAAACCTGGTCTGGGTGTTGAATGTTCTGTGGTCTTGTGAGTTACTCTGTGATTTACACCACCAGTGCTAACTTGACACGAGATGTGTCCTGACTGGTCTACCAACAGTATTGACCACAAAAGAAGGGGGATATGGTGTTGCCATGGCAACAACAAGAGATTCAATTCTGTTTAAACCAAGCCAGTGCGCCATCCATGCTATGATTCCCGATGAACACCTTGTGGTGCTCGACTGTTCCATTGTGGCCACAGCTGGCATCAAAACGGTGTGGGGGCATTTTTGTTGTTCCACTCCATTGTTTTCACTTCATCTGACACACTCACACACATCACGCTGCCTCGTAAAAGTCAACAAGAATTACAGGAATGAGATTTATGACATTCTTCAGCATTGAAGATGTTTTTGTCTCGTGCTGTATCATCTCCGTGAGTGATGTTTAAATGCGGAATTCGTCAGATGATTTGACATTTGGCAGCTGGAGGCTTGTTTTGAGTTCAACATCTTTGAAACGAAGGAAAAACGCTTGTCTGCGGCTTGGGACTTTTCTTTTGACCTCCAAGGCTAATTCTTTCTCGGTAAACAGCTTATATGTGCATGCCATGGTGTTTTCAGTCGAACTTTGAAATCTTTAAGTCTGCTCTTTCGCGTGTTTCTGATAACATCGGGGGTTGGATTTTGTCACTTGAGGGCCCAAGGCAAACCAATTCATATGCAGCGGACCCGTACGGGTTTTTCGTGGAGATGGGGACTGAGCCAGCCCACGAGTGGCGAAAATTCACAAATAATTGACACAATGATAATTGCACAGAAAAAAAATATACATTTTAACGCCAAAGCGTTATTCACTGAGTGGGATATACCACCAATAAACATTTTGAACAAAACAGGAGTGCCCCCAGCACCCCCCCGACCCCCCCCAAAAAAAGAATTTGGAGAAAAAACAAATCTACAAATATGTGAATCTGTGGGTGCCAAAGCACGAGTATGCGGGGTCCACTGTAATCTCTTTAAGCATTTTGATATGCTTTCAAGAACGTGAATTGAGACTCAAACAATAGTTATTGTTTTACATAGAAGAAAACTTCAGTCATCAGTTATTAAAAGATGTTTGTGGGCCCGCAGGCAGTTTTCTGCATCTGCCTAATGTTAAGTCCGCCCCCGCCGAACACACACGAGGGCACGTCCACAACAGCTGAGAGGTGTTCACTTATTAGCTTGTTGCTTTGGTCGCCGCACTCCCAAGCCGCATTGACCCTTCCCCCTAATACCAAACAAAAAAAGCGAAAATTTGGATTGAGTCCAAATGTTTTCTCAGACTCCAAGGATTTATTGTTCATTGTTAGCCACAGCGAGCCTCTTTGTTTCCGGAGGCGCCCGCGGAGGAGGTTGCGGTGCCTGCGAGGGCTCATGTGACTCCAATGAGCTGGCCTGAGTGACACCCCCAAGGGCCCAAAGGCCAGAGAGCTCTTCTTGTTCCCTCTCCTGCGTCTGTCCAACGGGAGGCACGCGTTAGTCCGCATTGCTCGAGAGCAAAACGTGCCATGTAATGGAAGTCGGAGAGCCGTGTCCGAACGCATCATTAGCGGCCGTCTGTTGTAACCCGAGAGCTTGGCGTGACCCAGTTGTAGCGTCATACTTGAATCGTGTGTCCTTCCCAGTGTTTCCCTATCAGTGTCAGAATGCTGTCGGGGCTTCTCTGGATGTTTACCCGATGATGGCAGGACATTGTTGGCTATTTTCGGAGTCGTGTATAGGGGTGTGGCGTTCCCACATTCTGGCCCTTGAATGAATCCACGCCGTTCATCCTGTGTTTACCTCGTCCCAACTCAAAGACAGCATCCCGGAGATCCGATTGCACAGCCTATTTTGGTCGCACCTTCCCTACGTCCTGTTTAACGTTGAACCCCGCAGAGGAAGATGGCAGCCACTTTGATGTAAATAAAGATTGGGCGTCATCCTCAATCCCCGTAAAGCATCTTCTGAGGCTCATTTGTGGCCATTTGTCGTGACATAAGCCCGCTGTCATGACCGGGGCCCGATATGCTGCGGGCATATGGCAGAGATATTGAACACGGACCACAGATGCCTGCGTATGTGTGTGTCGGAGTTGAAGTGATGTATTGAATATCTTGGACATTTTTTTAACATATGAACAACAGTAAAATACAGTAACGTTGCTGTATTAATTATTATTTGGGATGTTCACGACCACTTTACAAAACAGCAAATTCAGTCCCCAAGAAATGGTCTTTTACTATTTTGTTTCCAGGTTTCTCTTTTTTTTTCAACCCATTACTGAACAACTAAAATAATGTGGTTGCACAAGTGTGCAGACCCCCTTTAAACTGGGGACGTGGTTGTGTTTAGAACGAAGCAATCACACTCAAACTCATATAAATAGGAACCATCGCATAGCTGCCACCATTTAAAGTGACTCTGATTAACGGCGAATAAAGTTCATTTGTTCTCGTAGGCTTTATCCTGACATTGTTTCTTTCAAGCCGAAGCCTGGCAGATATGTGCTAACACTGACTGCTCTTTGGAACTGTTCATAATTCCCTTCACCTTGACTAAGGTTTGAGTTCAATCTGAAGAAAAACAGCCGCTGTTCATGATGCTGCCAACAGCCTGCTTCACTGTTGGAATGGTGTTCCTCTGGGGGTGAACAGTGTTGTGCTTGCGCCAAACACTGCTTTTTTGGAATTATGGCCACAAAGTTCCACCGTGCTTTCACTGGATCGTTACTGAATCTCCCAAACACTTTTTGGGGGAAAAAAAAAAAAATGGGCCCTATTTTCCTAATTAGTCATGACTATAGTGTATTCCAGATCTGACCATCATGGTCTTCTCCCAACACAAGAAGAACCAGTCTGACTTTTTGATTTCATTGATCAGGAACAACCATAAGCACACTCAACAGTCTCATTAGTCATCAGTGAACATCGACGTGAGACATAAAGCAGTGTATATTTTCTGTGTTCATTCTGTGGGTTTCAAATGAATTGTTGAAAGCGTGCAACCAAATCACTCTGCGTTTCTTTCACAGCGTATGAAAATGGCTCAATCAGAGCTTTCGGGAGAAGAAAGAAAAATGCTGAATACATTTTCCAGCAGCGTGTCTTAACAGGTTCTGCTCGGCTGAGCACAATCCTGATCTTAAGAATTTGCTACGCTGACCGGCGTTCCTTAAGGGACTTGCTTTTTTCACATAACTCCTGTGGGCATGTGGTACCTTCAGCTCAGTCACACAGTCAGCACACATGAAATATTCACATCCTAAAAGCAAATATGTTTCTTAAAACGCTCCAAGTTGAGTTATATTTAATCGCCTGCATGCATTTGCCAGAGAACAAGTTAGAAGGCTGTTGTTTCAAGGGCTGTGTGTTCATGCAAGCCTGTCATGGAACATGTTGGAGGTCTTAGGACTACACTGAGCAACTTTAGCTCAAAGTTATTAAAATAACAGTTTGAAAATCAAGTTCATGGTACTGCAATTTGTAATCATCATTACCACTTATGTTACTCTTCATGGAGTCAGTGATGCCACACTTGCTTTGAAAAAGCAATCTGAGTTTGTATTACTTCATCAAAACTGATTGCTTGGTTTTGAAAGTAATTGTTGGATTAGAAAATACTGTACTAGTTACAATCCACAGCTGAATAAGAGACATTAAACAGGTTACATGCATTATATAACTTAAAGGTGGTCACGATTACGAATTATGGGTCTGAAATCATAGCACTCGCTAAACTAACGTAGCATCATAGTCTGGTAACAGCATAAAATCAGTAGCTAGCCAATGGCATGTAGTTAACTTAGCAAATTCAAGGAATCGTACACCCACAAAATGGCGGCCTTAACTTAGTTCTTATGGACACACACTCCGGGCAAAGTACAATTTTCTCAGGAAATCCGTAAAATAGACCGACTGCTAGCTCCGTAATATTAATAACTGCGAGTCTCCAGCCGCTTTCTGTCTTTTCCAATTGTTTTATTATGATTGTCATTTGTGCTACAGATGACCCATATTTTTTTTCTTTTAATCCAGTGGTTTCACAATTAATCAGTTAATTTAAAACTAATCAAAAACCCAAGTAATCCACAACTGTTTTGAGAATCAAGAAAGCATTCCAAGCCATCGTTTAACTTAAAATATTCCAAATCCTCAGATTTTGGACTTTCAACAGTAAATATTCTGTGATTTCTGTCGTCCTTCATGGAACTGACATCTCTCGAAGCAAATCAGTCATTGAATCTTAATCACTTTATGCAAATAAATAAATAACCACCCATTTAATGAATTACGAAAATCTTGTTTATTTGCAGCTGTAGTACGATTACGCCGTTGTGCACATGTAACCTGAAGCAGCCTCCGATGTGGATATGAAACTAGTAGCCCTTCATTCGTATTAATCAGTAGCCAAGATGTGCCGTAGCTGTGCTCAGTTTCAAAAAGGTTGGCGAGTATATTACTCCCTCTGGTGTGATATTGCTTCATTGTTGTTTACTTGGTTTTGTTTAATCATTAAACAACAATAATAAGTTAATGAACAGTAAGTGGGAAAAAAATATATATTTTGGAATGAACTTGAATTCAAAACACATTTTTAATCAATTAACCCATGAAGTAAAATAATCAATTCTAAAATTATTGTATCGTGATGGACATATTCTCCTCTCAATTATGTCACTTTGCATGTAACACGTGTTAACATTAACCCTCCTGGTATGTCTCTCCTTATTTTTATTTTTTATTGTTTTAGAAAATGGGAAATGTTATTTTTTTAGGTTTTCCACTGGGCACATTGGTCCATGAACATTGTTCACATGATGGAGTGTTCGATTAAACTACACTTTACAACTCTTGGGAATGCCAGAGATAAATAACGTGACCTGTGTCACAAGAAGTAGAAGCAAGTAATGGTACTTCTTTCGCAGAACTGATGGACACGCGGGCAGCGCGACCCTTCAGTTTCTCCTTCAACACCAGCGACTACCGAATCCTCTTGATGGATCAGGACCAGGGTCGCCTGTACCTGGGCAGCAGGGAATACCTGGTGGCTCTGGATATGCACAATGTCAACAAAGAACCGCTAATAGTATGCATGCACGCACACAAGCGCACACACACACACAGATTCAAGGGATTTATTAATTTCTGTTTTTGTTTAGATTTACCTTCAGCATTACTATTGCAAGTCAACAGACTTAAAATCTTTTTGATTTGTTTTGACAGTCAGGAACAGTTTTAAAGCTTGCTACCGACGCCATATACACAGACAAGTAAACGTATTTTCAAACAGCCACGTAACTTAAAAGTCCACTAGCTTATTGCTAACACATGACGAACAACGGCATTAGCAAGCTAACACAGTTTGATCGTTGCTGTGTCGTAACCATTTGAGCAACTGATATGATTTATCTTCTGTGAAAAACGACTAATATTACTCCTGTGTCAGTTACAGTAATCGTGAAACTCTTCTTCATTTGTATCTGTATCATGGTGGTACACTGCCCCCGGTGGCCACTTCATGCTTACCACAAGGAGTCTTAACGACTAAATCATGCTCCACAAACTTTTAATTTCCTTACCTTTAATGTATTCATTTTATTACTCTATATTTATAACACACTATTATACAGTGCTATTTCCTTATTAAAAAAAAAATGTATTTAGTTTCTTAAGGCACCAACTGTACAGTAGGGTGGTCCACATTTTCATGGCAAAAAAAAAAGTTTGTCGGATTCGTCGGGCCGGGTCGGAATTCTTGTCGATACTATGGTACAAGGTTCTGTGCAAAATTTCATTCCGATCTGATGATATTTTCCCGTCCCGCAAAGCGGCCAAAGTTTCCACCATAACAACTGGTCTCAATAGGGTGAACATGTGTATTTTAACCGTGTATTTTGCCATG